ATATACAACTATATCCCTGATGACTCCAATGAAATACCATTAACCTATGCCAAGCATCCAAACATGAGTGTTCCCACATACACACACACACATACAGTTATGAAGCAAAATATTATATACAATTTAACAAAAAAAGTTGAAGTCTGCTTGAGGGAACACCGCGGAAAAACGTCTGCGCATGCACCAAATTATGAAAATATGGCGGGTAATTTGAATATCAATTTCTAAAACAAAAACAAAAACATGCTTATTAATTGGTCAAAAATTAGTAAAACAAACGAGAAAATATAGTAAATGGGTAGACTAGACATTAATTGAAAACGTCCTGGCATTTAAAGTATGGAATGAAATATAATTCATGTAAAAAAATGTTGATTTTAACGGACACGACTTCGAAAACTTTTGCAAAATTATTCAAAACAAGAATTCAAACTCAAAAGTTAAGAAAACTCTCGAAAAGTTAAGCTTCTTAACCCACTCAAATTGTAGAATAAATCCTAAAGTTTAATTATTGTGAACACGAAAATTTTTTATATTTGGCGACACTGTTTTTTTTAAAGAAATGTATCTCAAACGAAAATTCGGAAATTGTCATTGCTTAGTTGATAAACAAAATGTTTCAGACGATAAATTTGTCAACAATCACCTTTAGTTCATGTTCTTGTACAATACAAATTCTTGAACCTTCTGGTACATGTATTTATTTCTAGTTTTTAGAATGACATGTTTATTTTTGCGCTTGAAATCTGGCTGTAAAGACGCACAATGAAGTCACTCCTTTTTACCGCCATTTTGAGCCTTCGGAAACATTCGGAACAGCTTCTCATCAAGTTCGAAATACTATTACAGGTAAGGTTGACGCATGCGCAGACGTTTTTCCGCGGTGTTGGGAGCAACAGTGTGACCAGACGTGGTAATTTCATTACTACCGTGGTAATTTTTCGTCATTTTTGGACAATTGTGGTAATTGGAAATTTGTGGTAATTACTACGGTAATTTCAGGGGAATTTTTCGGGAATTTTTCGAAAAAATATGGGAAAATTGGGAAAATATAGCACCATGGTAATTTCAGACCGAAAATAGTAATTTTTGAAACCGGATGTGGTAATTTGCCCTGAAAAAACATGGTCACACTGGAGAGCAACCTTTGGAATGTTGTTAAATAAACTTTACCAATAAAAAATTAACGTACAAACAAATGCAGCCTGCTAATATCTCGTATATGCCTATGGCATGCTGAAGCATTTTAGAAATCAAGTATGAATTGTCAAGTCGTGACAGCGCAAATATATTATTGAATATCATCCAGTTACCATCGTGCATGGTAAGATATCTATAATGGATGGATGGATGGATGGATCAACTTTATTTAAAAACACACAAATCTTTTCAACAATATTAATGCTGGTTTCCAATAGTGGTGTGTACTACTATGATAGAATAAATCCCCCCCCCCCATTAATTACCTATGATGTATAGATATGAATTGGTTTACTAATAAGTACTATAAATTTACAAAGAAATCTAAGAAATTACTACTATAATTTAAGCATGATTATTGCTAAATGAAAAGGTCGAGGAAGAAAGCTTTTCACAAAACGAAATATAAGATGCCGAAGTTTTTATGTCTTCCGGAATTTGATTCCAGACACGAACCCCATTGTAACTGAAACTTTTTTTTAGTTATTCTGTTTTAGGCTTGGGAAGGCAAAGCCTAGTTGATGACCCTCTCAAATCATAATCATACATTGTATTTGAATTCTGAAAAAAGTTACTCAGTCTTTGGAGAACTAATTTATTGATCGATTTGTACATTAGTCTGGCTTTCATTTGTGCTCTGCGTTCTTCAAGGGTTATCCAACCAAGTGAATTGCGAGCCAATAAGGATTGTCCAGGCTCATTTTTGAAATTCATAATTATTCTAGCCGCCCTGTTTTGCAGTTTTTGAAGACGATCATACCTATTGCGTCCCAAACTTCGCAACAGTAATCGAGGTGCGGCTGGATTAGAGCATTATATATCAAAACCAAAGTATTCCGGTCAACAAATTCCTTAGCTTTTTTTAAAGCGCGAATTCCTGATGCCGGATATTTTACTAGCGATGGATTCAATATGCTTTCCCCAGTTTAAATGCTCGTCAATTTGGACTCCGAGCACTTTGGTATGTTTGACTCTTTTGACCGATTGTTTATCAATATTGATTGATGGTTGAACATCCAAACCATTTACCCTATATTGTGATCCAATCAGAACGTACTCAGTTTTGGCGATATTTAAATTATGTTTATTTGCAGATAGCCAATTTCGGACATTCTTCAGGTCTTCGTTCGCCCTCTTCTCTACTTCATTCAATGTTTCTCCCTCAGCTGTTAGGCTGGTATGCAAACATTCTGGGTGTTGTATGTTTAAGGCAATTTGGCAAATCGTTTATATATATAGTAAAGAGAAGAGGGCTAAGTATACTTCCCTGAGGAATGCCGCAAGTTATTTTTCTTTGTTTTGAAAGCATTCCTTGGAGAATGCATTTTTGAGTTCGGTTTGTCAAATAATTACGCAGTAGCGCAAGCGCCGATTCTCCAAGACCGTACATTTCAAGTTTCTTTAAAAGGATATCATGATTTACGGTATCAAACGCTTTCTTTATATCACTGAAGAAAAACAATTAAATTATAGCGTCCACGGTCCATATTGACATACCATTCATTCGTACAATCTATTAATAAAAGTAGTAGTTCTTGAATGGCAAGACCTAAAACCAAACTGATAATCGGATAGAATACTTTCTTTTTCTAAATACTCAGATATTTGATTATATAAAATCCGTTCTATCAGTTTGCTAACAACTGGTAATATTGAAATTGGCCTGTAATTGTCAAGAATGGTTCGCTGACCTTTTTTGAATACTGGCTGCTTTCTATTCTGATGGAAACTGACCCAAAACAATTGATTTGTTGAAGATTTTTGTCAATGGTTGTGCAACAGCAGGAGCCGCGACTTGAAGAACTTTTGTAGAGATTTTGTCAACACCTGTAGCTTTCGAAGTAGGTAATTTTGTGATAAGCCTGTAGACCGTAAATTCATTTACAGCCTCAAAAGAAAATTTTCTAGCTGGTTCTTGTTTGGTAATAAAGTCTCCAAAGTTACTATCGCTGTCATGCTCGATCGTTTGAGCAAGCTTAGGACCTATGTTTGTGAAGTATTCATTAAAAACCTCTTTTAACTCCTCTGTCGAGGTGATAGATTGTCCAGATAATTTAATTTCATGAATAGTATTTTGGCTGTGACATCGTCCTAAGATATCATTAATTGTTTTCCAGACATGTTTCGAATTGTTTTTGTAATTTAGGAATTTTGTTGCATAGTATTCTCTTTTTGCATGACGCAACGCAATATTACATGCATTTCTAGAAGACTTGTACTCTTTGTTTTCGTTATCAATTAGTTGAATAAGTCTTTCTATTTTTAAGAAGACTTCAGTTTTGGAATTTGGTGGTCTGTAAACACTTGAAATAATAAAAGACTGACTATTCGCTTGTCTAACTTCTAGAGAGACAGCTTCAAGGTCATTTGGAACTGGATCAGGACGTTTTTGGTAATTTATATTACATCTTATGTATATGAAAACACCTCCCCCATTTCTTGTTCGATCGGCACGCAATATGTCATAGCCGCCGACACCAACTAGCTCGTCAGAAATGGAAGAGTCTAGGCGGGTTTCATTAAGCGCTAAAATATCAATTTTTTATCACGTAACATCAAACGTATTTCGTCAAGGTGTTTTGGAAGGCTAGCTATATTAAATATAGCCATTTTAAACCCCCTTGTTTTTTGAATATTCAACCATGTTTCATGAACTTTATTCCTCGGCCTTTTCTCGATTGCTAAGAGTTTGTGGATAGAGAGTGTGGATGCATGTAGATACTGAGTGCATCGCTCCCAACCTCAAACTACTCCAGGCCATATCTCTGAGAAAATTAGCAAGCATTATAGCACTGATAACCGGAAAGAAAAGGGACCTTATAAATTAAGGTAATTTTCCATTTCAGTCACATCGCCCGCGCGGGTGGAACGACCAATTTTAATCGCGTGAAAAATCAGTCGCGCGGACACGACAAGAAAGTTGAATGTAGTTCTACTTTCATAGCGTGTCCACGAGCATTCAGGCGGACAAAAAATGCACAGGATAGACAACTACCAGAGAAAGTTTTCAATGAGTAGTGTTCGCTACGCCCGCGCTCGGGCAAAGCAATTGCATTGGAAAGTAGGACGACGACGGCTGTTCACACAACCATATTCTTGATCTCGTAGAAAGGAAACTGGTTATAATTAGCCATTTCCCAATCGAGCAGAGGACCGTTCATGGCCTACAAAGAGTGAAGGTGGTGCTAGCGCACGCATGTGGCAACTGTGTGATACTGTGTGCGAATATCTGACTGTGTGCTAATTAAAGCATCCAAAATGTCTGGAGATTCCAGAGTTATTTGTTGTGAATTTTTATCAAAGGCAACAGATCGTATTGTCGTTGGTAAAAAATCGAAACGGAGCCACAAATGGAAGTATTTCTGTAATTTACCCTTGCAGCAAATACTTAGTCTTAGATATTGTTATTAATTTCCGTCAGCCGGCCAATGTAAAGTAAATCACACAAATCTGCTTTTAACTTGTGTGGATAATTCGTTCTCTGTTTACACTAAGACGGATAATGCATGGGAGTACATCTACACAGATTCGTATGATGCACGAGTCTACTGGCACAGGTGATCTGCATAAACGTAGAGGCTTAGAAAGTTAGAGAGAGGGGGGGGCGGATGTCAATCTGCCCGACGAGCGCCTAAGATGCGAGAAAAGTAGAGTCTCTGACGTGTAATTTTCTGCGTTTTGGGGTAAGATTTTGTGGATGGAGCGGGGGAGGAACGAAGAGAAAATTGATGAAACAAGACCAAGTCTGATGACTATTTTGAAATTCCTAAATGTAACTTTTACCGAAAACCTAACCTAGTCTCCACTAGTACAAAGTGTATCCCGTGTATTATATTATGTATACTGTCAAACGAATTGTGAGGCATGGTGACTTCGTTGGCCAAAATCATCATTCAATGATTCTGTCCATATCATAGTTGTCGAGCCGTGTTCTATTAGTATGCTCGTTCCATACAGAGAAGAGAAATTCTTGACCCATTGTGGAACGAAGGTACGTCTTCACCCTTCGTAACCCACTGAAAGATCTTTCTGCAGAACATGATCGACGTACGTAGTTGGAATCGTTGCCAAGATGGAACTTGCTTTATAGAAGACTGTCCATCCCTTGAAAATGCCAGTGTATATGAGTACCGTACATCTGGCGTGCGCCTAGAGTAAGCTAATCGTATAAACCGTACGTCCGAATACGCACAAAAATTTTTAAGCCTGCCTTCAAATATGTTTCTGTCTCGGCGGGCCTTGCCGTATGCCAGCGAAATTCCTTTTCTTGACTTTGCTAAAGCCTTTTGATTTCGTTGATCATACTATTTTATTGAAGATCTCACGGTATATCAGGCAACATGTACAATTGGTTTACTGATTATTTGCATGGACATACTCGATCAGCGTGTCGTTGTCGATGGTGCAACTTCAGAATGGTCTCAAGTTACCTCCGGTGTCCCTCAGGGTAGTATCTTAGGTTCTATGTTGTTCCTTCTTTTTACCACTGACCTCCCTGAGGGTGGGAAAGGGTATTTTCGTGAGCCGTGAATGGTCAATATTTGTTTCGCGTGAAATGTGAAATGCTTGATTTTACTGTCGTGAAATGTGACTTGTTCTACAGCCGTGAGGCGTGATTGTCGATAAAAATGCTCCGTGAATTGAGAATTAAGGATGTCTGTTTCGTGAACTGTGACTTTGCTTTGTTTATTTCGATCTATTTTATAATAGTCATAAATAAATAAACATGATACGCGATAATCAATTTATATGATCTCACTCGATTGCACAAGAGTAAAAACTTCGGAGGCCTTTCGGAGGTCGTCGTACATGCTCGTCACTCAAACTTGTAAGTCGTATATGATGTTGTTTTTAACTGACAGGTAGAGAAGTAAGAGAACTTAAAGCGTAGATATTGTACCATGCATTAAACCAGGGGCGGATGCAGCTCCTGAGCTGACTGATGCATACATAAGATCTCGCATTTGTAAATAGATAGATAAATAGATTGATTGATTTAATAAGAAAACACATTGCAGCCGAGTACGACTGGATTGCGTGTTACTTTACAACAATGGTAATTATGAGAATAAAGTTTATCTAAAAATGGTATATAAAAGAACGTTACAAATATGTTAAAGTGTGTAACTCAGTATATAAATTATGTATTTACAAAGTTAAAACTACGAATATTAGGCTTAAGAGAACTCTTTAATACAAGAAGGAATAAATGTTTTTAAAAATCTATCAGTTTTAATCACTGGTGTTTGGAAGACACGTATACTACGCAAGTCATTGGTGATAGGTGGACGTGCAGGAAACAAATTCGACAACTTGTGTGCAGGGTCCTTAGTTATCTGATTGTATAGTTTGGAGCAGGCATGCCTTCGACGATCGCTTAAGAGTGTCAAGTTAGCTTTGTCCAAACGCTCGCTGTAAGACAAACCGGGAAAGATTATGGATGTAACTCTTCTCTGGACTCGTTCTATGTTATCACTGAGATACTTAGGCAGAGCAAAGTGAAATACCTCACAAGCGTATTCCAGAACCGGTCTGACACAGCAACAATAAAAGTTTAGAATTTCTTTGGCTGGTATTTTAGCTCGTTTTAATTGGACTATGAAGAAGATTCTCTTGTTGGCTTTCTTTATTATGTTTAGGACATGCGTAGACCATCTTAAATCATCACTAACCGTAACACCTAGAATTTTAGCTTGGCGAACCAGGTTTGGACACCCAGCAAGAAGATGGATATCATCAAAGGATACTCTATTTCTGTGGAATTGAAACAAAAGCTCTTTGCATTTTTGGACATTTAATTGGAATTTATTCTGCGAGTTCCACATTTCAAGTTCGTTAGCTCCAGATTGGATTTGGCTGGTTCCGTTTCTTGGGATAGTTTCCGAGACTGTTGTATCATCGATGTATTTCCAGTGGGTGATGTCCATAAGCTTCAAATCGTTTATCATGAGAATAAACAACCAAGGTCCCAACTTTGTGCCCTGTGGGACGCCACTAGGGACATTACCCCACTCAGAAACACAGTCCCTTGCAAGTTTCACGCGTTGTTTCCGACCACACAAAAAGCTAATAAGCCAATTTGTGATATAGATTGGGATGGGCAGTTGGCGAATTTTGTTGATCAAGATTGAGTGATCAATAAGATCAAAAGCCTTCCTGTAATCGACCAGAAGGACTCGCACGGAATTTCCAGTACCATCGGTTGCTTTAGCCCAGTTGTGCAACATACTAATAAGGGCAATAGTTGAAGATGACCTTGGTATTCCTCCGAACTGGTGGGAGTCGATGCATTTCAGGATGGCAGGGGCGACAAACTTTTCAATGACAAATTCTTCAGCCAGTTTTGAGAGACAACAAGTAAGTGATATGGGTCTTAAGTGTTTATTAATGTCGCATACAACCTTTTCCTTTGGAATTGGGATAATGTTCGCCAACTTCCATAAGCTTGGTAATAATTGATGGCGGAGTGAACAGTTGATCAAGCTAGAGATTGGGCATGCCAAAATCTCGGCATATTCCTTGTAGACAAAATTCGGAACTTCATCAGGACCTGGTGCTTTAGAGGTACTTAGTAATTTAAGTTTATTATATGTTTCCCACGGTGTAGTGATGTCAAGAGGTTGATCAGACATACTATTGATTTGGTCGTCATTAGGGTTGAAAGGATCAAATTCCTGCATGGGTTCTAGAAAGGCGTTGTTAATAGCATTAGCCAAATCGGCCAAGGGCAGGTGTTCTAAGTTTTCTGATTGGATACAATCCTGTAGGCTTGAATGTGAAACCATTCCACTAATGCGTTTTACTTCGCGCCACCAGTGTTTCGGGTTAGATTGTTTTAAATTATCTACTTTTGTCTTATAATAATTAGCCTTGCAAGTTTTCCTTTTTCTATTAACCCTATTTCGATAGAATTTGAAGAGGGTGTCATTCCCGAAGAAAAAGGCACGCTGTCGAAGTTGTATGAGACGACGCAGATCTTCGTTGATCCATGGGTGGTCGTTGGAATGAACCAAAAGACGTTTTTCAGGCAATATATAGAATAATCCAAAGGATAGCATATCGGTGAACAGTTGGTTTTTCACCTCAACGGATTTGGGTGAGTCGAGGAAAGACCAGTCAATTTCGCTTAAATACCGCCCAAACATAGCTTTGCGTGAAGGTCTCATATCACGTTTATAGACGACTTTCTTCTGGTTAGACTTAGGGTCTCGGAGTTTAGGAGAGACAGCAATTACAGAATGATCAGAAAGGCCGAAGGGCGGAAATGCGATGATGGAGTCCGATAGATAGAAAGGATCTAGGTTTGTGAGCACTAGGTCAAGTGTATTGCCCCCTCTTGTTGGTATCTTCACAAGTTGTTTTAAACCAAAATTTATGCGTAACTGTTTTATATCTAAGCGATTAAAGTCACCAGCCAAAATTAAACCACAACCAGGATAGAGACTCTCAACCCGGGTCAGTGATGCAATTAGGTACTCCAAGATTTCATTATCGTCTGAAGACGGGGGGTGGTAGATAGTAGCAGTAATTATGCACGAAACACCTCTGGGTAACCTGGCCGGCCGTACATAAACCCACATAACTTCCAAATTCGGACATTCCAAGTTATATAAACGGAATGTTTTATATTTCGAATTGGAAAACAAACAGACGCCCTCATGAATTCCAATTCGACGATCCAACCGTTCGAGGTTGTAGCCAGGGAGGATAAGTTGATCATCCCCAACATTACTTTTTAGCCACGTTTCAGAAATGAAGAATAAATCAATACTATGAGTTTCAGTAAAAACACAAATTTCGTCAATTTTCGGAAGAAGTGACATGACGTTAGTTAATACAATATTAGGAACAAATTCCCGATTTTCGTAATAATTGGGATAGTGCCGTTGTTGAAAATGGGTGGGTTTGTGAAAAAAGTCGCACTTTTCGCCTTTTAAACAGCTTCCCTTTCTTTCTAGGAAGGGGCATGGGGTCAGGTGCTTGGGTTTAGAAAAGATCTGATGTTCTTTGTTATTAGATTCCAGATTCGAATGGGAGAAGTCACAATTGACTCCTTTAGTGCAATGGCCACGGCGGAGAAGGAATGGACATGGGACAACACTCTTAGGATTTTGAGGCGCACATTCGGAATTAGGCTGTTTATCTGTACTAGTTCTGTCGGGATGGCCAGACACAGACACCCCTGCAACGGGGTTTATATTTTCATTTCTCAGTGTATTCGGACCATTCGGTTCTTGGAATGTTTTATCCAATTCGACCAATTCAATTGTTTTATTATGTTGCTCATTTTGCATGGGGTTTTCATTTTGTGTGCTTTCGCAATGCGTTGTTTGGTTTGAGACTTCAGAGGACGGTTCCGGTTCGTAAACATTTCCTAAGCGCTTAGCTTCAATTATTAATTGCCGTTTGTCCTCGTTTACGAGACGCACTGAGGTTAATAAGCTAGCCTTCTCCTCTTCAAGTATTTTAATTTTTGTATTTAAATCAGAGGTAATATAGACTAAGTTGTGCATGCGTTCAAGGTATTCGGCGTTTTCTTTCTTAAGAATTGCATTTTCAGAGCAAATAAGTTCGTATTCTTTTCTAAGTGTGTGTAGTTCAATATATGCAGTATCATTCGATGAGGATTGACATACGGTTTCAAGGTTAGCTATGGCAGTTTTGTTTTGTTCCATAACACCCAGTAGCAGTGGCAATAAGTCTCTATTAAAAAATAGTCAGTACTGCAGAGCCTGAAATAACGGCCGGCGGTTTTCCGACCAAATTCCGATTTTTCCGACCAAATGCTGAAATGATCGGAAATTTTGTCCGGCCAAATTTTGAGAAAAAGAAAAATGTTTTCTTAATGATCGGGTCGGCGCTCAGCACAGTGAATACCATCTGTAAGTTTGGATTATCTATATTAGGCTAATATAAAGTAATCAACTGGAAAGTATAGTTCACGGGCAGCCTAGTCCCTGGCCTTCCAAGCGCGGGCGAGTTACAGGCTGTCGTGAACTTGCGGGCTGTCAGTTTCCCCAGTCTCCAAATAATACAGCTTTATCACGGTCAACCTGCAAACCTTATCAATTTCCCCCTAAAATAATGAGGCGGAAGCGAGAAGGCCAGGAACTAGGCTGGTTCACGGGCTCAATAAACAAGAAGGTGGCTTACAGCGTGGTGTTGTCGTGAAAATGTGAGGTGAGTCTTAATAATTTGCAATTTAAATCACCCGTCAATCAATTTAAAACACCCGTCGGCTCACGACCATTTTGAATTTTCGCTACAGTTACAATTACCTTACACAATTGCAAGTAGAGTGATTTACTCAGTGCACGTCTGCATGCTTGACAGAGTTTGCTCATTGGGGGGGGGGGGGGGAGTGGACTTGGTCAAACTAAACTAAAAAAAATTCCGGTCAATTTTGCAAATTTCCGGTCAAATTTCGTTTTGGTCGGAAGTTTTTCCGGACAAATTTTAAAATTATTTCAGGCTCTGGTACTGTGCTTCTTGTAGCCTTAACTTTTCTATTGAAAAACATTTCGGCAGAAAATCACGACAGCGCAAATACACACATACTGTGTAACAAAGGTGTATACAGTGTGCTCCACTAGTTGCATTGCTGGACTCAGAAGACAGTGTTATTATGTTGTTTATGAACCATTAATTTCCAATGTTCCATGAGTAAAATCTTCTAGCATTAGAATTTAAAGTAAAATAAAATATGGTGCATAAAGGTATTTTGTGCTTTACTCAGTTTACTGGGTAAATATATGCAACTCTGTCTTATGCTGCTAATCTTACTCTCATGGACAGTGTGGTTGGCATCAGTTGGTCAATTTCACTTGCCCCTAGCTGCCTTTGATATGAACTGCATGGTGAACAGCCCACACTCTGAATACTGAGAATATTGCCTTGTGGCGAGGAAACCAGTAAACTAACACACAACAAACACTGGGTTTAAAATTATATAAATATATATTAACTATAGGTACATACACAACCACATGTTTTAAATCAATAGAGACTGTGTGTAAATTAATTTAATGAAGCTATCTTAGTTGGAAATTGTTTGTTAAATAAACCAATACGAAACTGTTCAATGATAAACATGACATAATTGCTGCCGTAGCGAGCGAGCGTGAAGCGAGCGAGCGAAGCAGCAGTCCTAATCTTTATGTATATGTATATATATATATATAAGGCAGATGAAATCTCGATCGTTTCGGCGTATTTTGGCCTACCACAATGCACTGCTTCCGGGCCGGCAGGCTATTCTTGCCTAATAAACAGGCATAAGGCAAACAAGCAATGCGGATCATCTTTCATCTTGGGTTTTCTTTCAAAGCCATAGCTGGCGTAAGTGATCAAACGGCATTTTGTCGATACGCAGTAGTTCGAGCATTATACGTGGTGCTTTCGCCATTATACGCGGTGCGTTCGCCATTATACGCAGTGGTTCGAGCATTATACGCGGTGCTTTCGTCATTATACGGGGTGCTTTTGACATAATTTCCATATTCTTTCCATGTATATAATCTCACGATTGCTTAATAAATCTGGTAGGCCTATATGGCTGTGCTTTTTGCCTCTGCCTGCAATGACGGATGACATGCTTTTAAAAAGGTTTATTTATAAAAAGGTGACTGCACTTTGTGAGTTCTTATATATTATCATATAGTGTTGATTTATTAGTAATAAATCTGTGTATATAACATAGGTATATAAATTAATATAACGCAGCAAATGCGCGCCAAGCAGTATAAACGCGGCCGAAATACGATATTAAAATCTTGAATGTGCCGTATGATTTAATTATGTTTTAGGATTTAAAGCCTTTAAAAATGCTTTGTCATTTGTATTTGTACTTGTACTGCATCACAACGCAGTGCGTAAGTGAACAGATTCCACATGTGAGGTTGTCTTGTATATATTTTTGCCTTCTTTGATAAACATTATTAAACACGCAAATTTAGTGAGACGCACACTCGCACATGTTAAATGTCACCTGCATGTCATTGTCATTGCCCTTTAACCCCTGGTCTAAATCATATGATTATTGAAGCGGGGCCGTTTTGACTTTGGGCCGTTTTGACTTTGGGCCGTTTTGACCTAGCACCGTATTTGTGGGCAAATTGTCTATACAATTTTATATACTAGATATCACAGCCATACCTGCCATTTTGATCTTTTCCTCGCGTTATATAAGTTGATAAGTACACTCATTCTTGTTAGCCATCGTACCTGTTCGGCTGTTCCTCTTTCGATACGAACCTTCGAGCGCCGAGTTATCATACGGCACATTCAAGTGTATAAATTATGGATGATTCCAATTCATTACGAATATTTCTTACTCTTATTCTTTAAAATATTAAGAGGCAACTTTTTTTCAATGTCACGTATTTGCAATGAAAAGTGTTCAAAACCTAAAATCTTTTTGGCGTTCCTCTCAAAATTACTTTGTTTTAGCTTTATTCTCTACAGTTTATAGAGTTAGCTACCTATTTAAACGCGTCTGCCGGTTGAGAAACATAAAATAAGAGTTAAAAATTGCCAATTAAAATACAATTATCAATGATGCCTTAAAATTGACGCTATATTTACAGCCATTTAAGCAAAACGTACTGAACTTCAGACATCATTTTCTCTTTGGCGTATCATCTAAAATCTCTTCATTTTAGCATTATTTTACAGATAAAGCACTAAACATACTTTTTAAGGTTTTTTTACCGATTGAGAAACGTATCGAAAAATACAAATTTTGCCATTTTAGTCATAATCTCATGTGGTATATTATACGCATTAGTTTTGAGCGCATGTTACGTAACAAACAAAAAATCTCATTTAAGGTTACTCCATATGATGAAAACTCTGATTCCGTCATTTTTTACATTTTTATATATTTGAATTGAGGGGCTGAAAATCTTTCGATCCTCAAAGATTATTTTCAAAAATATTAAAATGCGACCGAGATATAACTGAAAATGTTTTAAATTCGAATAATTTTGCCGCGAAAATAGTAATTGTAATTGACATTCTGCTAATTGGTGTGAACTCATTACCGGATCCGCATGCAGGTGAGAAATATTGTAACACCTGGTTGGTGTAATATTTCTTTGATACTTTATTCACAACAATAGCACAGCGAAACACACTGTAGTGGTAGTGAGCAATTTTTAGAAAGTTAAATTAAAGCTTGTATAGTTATACGCGAGTGCGGTGCCTTTGAAATCAAAGAGGCATAAGAAAAACACAAGTCCGTTTTGCTCTAAACGAAAAAGGAAAAAATCCTTTCGGCAAATGGAATTCGATACGAATAAGAAACGAGTGCTTGCAGACAGTGACTTGGGCTCATGGTTTTCCCAAGACCAACAATGGTCCGAACAGTTTGAGGATTCCGCAACTTGTTCTTCAGCAAGGACTCAGACAGCAACATGTCCATGTCCTGAAGAAGAGTGTCTTTGCTTTCAGCTCCAGGTGAATCCTCACTTGGCTCTTGGTCGCGCACCACAGATCTCCTACATTTACGTTTTGCTGATTTAGCTTGCTCCTTATTCGCTTTGCTCTCCCTACATTTGCGTTTTGCCGGCATATTTAATGTTTTTGTTTTGCCTGTTACGCACTTATAACAAACTAGATCATCAATAAATGACGCACAACCACCTTGCCAAAAGTACTTTGATGAGGTTCGATCTGATTGGCTTACAGTTTGAAGTGAAAACAGAGGGCGGAGAAACACAACAGGGAGCGGAAAAACCCCGCGAAATCTCTTTTAGCCTTTTACACAGAATGAAATATTCCCAGATTGTCCTCACAAAAAGACTAATGCACCGTGCACGTTTTATCCGATTCCTTCCAAACTTTGCCACAATGTAGAACAATTGTTAAGGAGCAATTGTAAAGTGTGTTCGCGTTTTTCGTTTAACGGCATACTTTTCGAGTTATAGGCATTCTAATTCGTTCTACCGTGTATACAAAATTTGTGTAAATCAACTTGTCTGCTTTATATCAAAGCAAATACAATAGCTGTCAAAAAATGCGAACACACTTTTGTTATTTGATCATCTGAGATGGGAAATATGATGTTTTGCAGGTCCTAGGGTTAAATCGGCGGCGTGCAAATCTCGTGACGCAAAGGAGGTCAGATTTTCAAAAGTAGCCCGTAGCAACCACAGTGTTTTAAAATATAACATTTTTGTTAAATTGCTGGTTACAACAATGATTTATCATCACGTACACAAAATTTGACGGCAAAAGCGTAAAAATTGAGCGCGCGGTGAGCATTTTTGTAAAACGCCATTTCATCATGTGGAGTAACCTTAAATATTTGGGAACAATGCTATACCAAGGCAGCATTCACTACCCTGTGGGTAAACTAGTTTAATTATATGTCTTATAAAATATCTGTCCCCTTTTGCCTGACTTTCAACTAATATTAATACAGTACTCCTTTAAGAAAGGCTGCACAGTAGTATTGATGAATATTTAATTTTCCCTATGTTATTATATAAATGCACATCTTGTCAAATATATCCATACACTTATCAATGATAATCGTAATCCTCAGGATGGCATGCTGGCTATCCAAAACATAATACTGGGATAATTAACATTACAAATATATAATTTAATTAAATATATTTTCCAAACTATCCCACTTTTGTGAGCAAATTTCATAATTATAACCTGTATACACCAGTTACAGTATATACAGTATTTATACCGTCCATCATTTTATCATTGATTCTATGATTAAAATCTGTCATGAGAATGTCATATGACATATACAGCTTATATCAAATTATATTTGCACAGACAAAGCATATAAACACTCAACTATGGTAGGCGAGCAATCCCAGTTTATCATCTTTGTTTGCAAAATACCCAGCTAGTGTACAGTAATTGCCCAATAATTCAGGCAATGCAAAGTAAGACCCCTGTCACAAGGCATGCCAGCTCATTTCCATAAAAAGTGAAAATGAAATGAAATAGGAGATACCGCTGGAAGTTGCAACTTGAAACAATTACCTTTCATGTAAACTCCCTCTTAGTCTTCTACTGTAACCAATGTTGCATTACTATTAGAAATCTCATTAACCTGCAATTATGCTCTGTAATTACATACAGAGACTGATGCAAGTCTTGATCCATTCAGAGTTACTTTCCACCCACACTATAGTTTTATTTTTGGTATCCAATCAAAATGTGCGAGAAGAAATGTCAATTTCACATAATAACAAGCTAAATATAGTTACAATCACTATAAATATATCATAATAACATTATTTAATTATAGCATTAACCAATTATCAAAACAATACATTAAATATGGCATGAATACTCATGCTAGAAATAGCCAATCGGAGTTACAACCATGAACCATAAAGGCAGTTGTAGGGGACAAACATTTAATAACATGTGTATCAGGGCTTCATTTTTCTTTGCCCGCCAGTGTTATCCGTCAATTTCGAGGGATTTCTCTTCGCATTATTTGTCTCATTTGCATATAGTGTTTGCATATCCAAATATCCTTGCCGCCATGACTTGAATCGAATGCCTCGTTACGTCACAGTAGATTTGATTTTGCAATTTGCATCAGTGGACCGATGCGAGCGCCCGCAATCTGCATGCGATGCATCGCTCAGCGGCCAAATCTAACGTGACGTAGGGCTCTAAAACAATAGATTTGATGATGTCACGTTAGATTTCACGCGGAAAAGGACGCGCAAGGGACCGATGCATTCACTGATGCAAAATGGATGCCAGTGATGCTAAATCGAATCTAACGTGACGTAGGTGATGCATTTTGCTTCAACTGTGACATCAAAGGATGCGGTAAAAAATAACATATTTTGTCGTGAAAATATTGACGCTTAAGTGTCGCAAAATAACAGAAAGTACACATTTGCGATCGCACGTCGCATATTGGACTTATTTTGACAATTTCCACTGTTATTGAAACTATTTAAATTGGATTTGATCCTAAATAGTGTATACCTGACATGGAGTCAATTTTAAGCAAAGATTTGCAGGTTGATAGGAGATATTTTATTACTGAGTGCTTTGAGTATTGGCGACATTATATATCTATATATTTCAAGCAACATGAATCATGATTTCTCAATTTTGACCGATGCATTCGCATTGCTGGCATCGGTCTGGATCCGCCCCTGCACGAATTTCATTATTTCAAAGTAATATAAAACAAAACAAGTCGGGAAAAGGATTTTGAACCCAAGATATGAGACAAAATTAATATGAGAATGAGTTTGAATACCTTATTATAGGAAATTAACGATGCACTTTATTAACACGGATTTTAAAAATTCGCGTTAATTTAATTAATGTTAATTTTAAGTATGTAATTTTCATTTATCGTTAGTTAAAAATACCTAGATTTGTTCTATATAACACTAACTCTTTTAATATCAAAATACAGCATATTAACGTAAACTAAAAACATCAGTCCTCCTCTTAACATTAAACCTTTGTTGTTGTTGTGTCTATATTTTCCGATTCGCGTTAATTTAATTAGTTTATCAACCACGGAGTTCAGATTTGCGTCAATATAATCATGCTTTAAAAGACCTAGAAGCAATCTGTGTTAATTTGATGTCGCGTTATTAAAGTGCATCGTTAATTTCCTATAATAAGGTATATAAAAGAACAACAAAAAAAGAATAAATTACAAAACTACTGTGATATTGTTGAAATTAGCAATATTATACATTTGCTGTTTATAATGGTAGTTTTTGATATAATGTATTTATGCTTTTCCATCAAAATGGCAAGTTAAATTTGCCAAACAGCCCAAGCTTTGCCTTTGACAAGCTAGAATTTAAAAAAAGTAAAAGAAATAAAACTTTCGCGAATCTTACCTGCAAACAAGAAATATAATAGTCCTTTCGAGTGAATTGTTTCATCTACAAGCTGAGCAAAAACTTAAAACTAACAGACTTTTTCCTTGACTGCAAAAATATCAAGATTTTCAGTCAAAACTCGGAAATTATTATCAAAATTTGTGCAAAAACCAGGGGGGGCGAAGGATTTTATTTCAAGCGTAGGAATGTTTGACTGACGGATAGATAGGAGCACATCCCCAAGTAATATTATAGCTCGGTGTCCGCGACTCTCGGGTTGGTTTTTCTTCATTTTAAAAGAGCAGAAAAGGAAACTAACCTCATTTATTTCATGTAAACCTGATTTCCTTCATCTAATCGATCTGTCTACTGCATTTTTCCACTATATGTATGAGTAAATCTGTATTTTTCGTTGCGAATTCAACAACTAATTTCAAACTTTTTTGTTTTTTGGATATAAATCTGTATTTGTAGTATTACTTTGAGTGTATATCCACACCGGGCGAGCTTGAAAAATATGCCCGGCCACGGTGGGATTCGAACCTACCACCTTTGGAATACTAGCCCAATGCTCTTCCAATTGAGCTACGTGGTCAGGACGGTTTGAGTAAGTGATATTTCGGAACAGAATCTAGTTCCTTTGATACCAATGTATTCTAGTAATATGAATTTTTTTTTCTGTGTTGGTGTAGTGTACTCAGGTGAATATGATATTTGTAGTATTACTCTGAGTGTATATCCACACCGGGCGAGCTTGAAAAATATGCCCGGCCACGGTGGGATTCGAACCTACGACCTTTGGAATACTAGCCCAATGCTCTTCGAACTGAGCTACGCGGTCAGGACGGTTCGAGTAAGTGATATTTCGGAACAGTATCTAGTTCCTTCAATACCAATATGTTCTAGTAATATGAATTTTTTTCTTCTGTGTTGGTGTTGTGTACTCAGGTGAATAATATGTTTGCGCTGTTACTCTGAGTGCATATCCACACCGGGCGACCTTGAAAAATATGCCCGGCCACGGTGGGATTCGAACCTACGACCTTTGGAATACTAGCCCAATGCTCTTCCAACTGAGCTACGCGGTCAGGACGGTTCGAATAAGTGATATTTCGAAACAGTATCTAGTTCCTTCAATACCAATGTGTTCTAGTAATATGAATTTTTTTTCTGTGTTGGTGTTGTGTACTCAGGTGAATAATATGTTTGCGATGTTACTCTGAGTGTATATCCACACCGGGCGAGCTTGAAAAATATGCCCGGCCACGGTGGGATTTGAACCTACGACCTTTAGAATACTAGCCCAATGCTCTTCCAACTGAGCTACGCGGTCAGGACGGTTCGAGTAAGTTATATTTCGGAACAGAATCTAGTTCCTTCGATACCAATGTATTCTAGCAATATGAATTTTTTTTCTGTGTTGGTGTAGTGTACTCAGGTGAATATGAATCATAGTATATATGAATCATTGTATTGTTGTTTCTATGGTGCTTTTCAGTTTTAACACCATTATTTAGCTTATTTACGTCCGTTTTCCTGACCTAAAACTGCTTTTTAACTGCAGTTTTCGAGGCAGTTTTTAGCCAATTTAATCCCATACTTGTAAGAAGGTTTTTTGTTTTTTTTATTTAATAAAATCACTTTGATGATTGCCTTATAAACTTAAACTGTTTATTTTAATGAGTTATCCCAGAGCCAGGGAAACCCGGGGAAACGAAAGCATATTAGCAAAGTCTAAACTCTAAAGTACATCAATGATCGCGGGCATGGGTTACCGTGAGTGGTTCGGTGGGTGGTCATCTCACTGATCTCACAATATGGCTGTTTGCTAGGAGTGAAGAGGCAACAAAAATAAAAAATGCATGTCGGAAAGCTTGGAAAATCGTTTCACATAACAAATTGTAAAACCTTTTACTATTTTCAAACGTAAACATTTAGAAGAATTCATTTAGTATGAGAAATCTTGAAGTATAGGGCAAGTTTGTTTCAATTGTTTATGTATGACTTTATATTAATGGGAACTTTGTTCTTGACGTTCAGGTATTTCCTACGCATTGTTTGCAAACGTTTCTTAGTTAAATTAACCTTTTTAGAAGTTCATTAACGCAAATTATTTTCATTAGCGTCCGGTACGAATTAAATTTATTTCCTTTCAAAGTGCGAGTAATAAGTAGAAGCTTGAGTTGAAGAGTTTATATAAATATCGGCAAAAAGAAGCTGATTTCAATTCACATTTAAAAACTTTTACGTAGAGTTTCGTTTTGTATTTTACATTAAAATAAAGCACATAGAAACCAAAATAATATACCTACTTTATATATTTTAGAACTTGATAGTTCTGTGTTTAAAAGTGTTCAAGTTTCATCTATTTTTTGCAACTTTGCGAAAAAATTTTAAAAATCATGATTTGTGTCAGTGTGACCAGATATTTTGCAAGGCAATTACTAAATAAGCATGCAAAAAATTACCAAAACCTAGAAGAAATTACTAAATTTCTGCTGTCAACCAAAGTGGTCTGAAAATCAATAAAACATCTCTACGAAACAAAATCAGTAAAACAGTTTCCATCACTGAAACTATGTTGTTTTTTCTCACTTGTACTTTTTGGTTGCGATTGTGCAAAATGCAAATATGGCGTCTCGATGATCGGGCCCCGGGTCCCTAGCCCGCATTCAGCAGAGGGTGAGATAAGCAGGATTCCGTCGATTCAGCTGGACAGCTTGGGCCAGCAGCTTGCAATAGACCTTTCCCAGGATACGTGTGGCCGCTCGTGAAAGTGAGGCTCTGGTAAGTACATGGCGCCAATTTTCAATATGGCGGAAGCAAGGTCGGAGCTTTTTAGTACTCCGCCGTCAAAACAAACAACAATTATTAAGAATGAAGCAGTTCCAAGGGGAGTTATTTATTGCTGTGTTCCGCTTTGTAAAAGCTACAGTGGAAAGGTAGTCGAGGGAAAAAACGTTACTCTACACAGAATTCCCTTAGACGAAAAATATAAACCGAGCAGCTGGATACAACAACTTCGCAATGTACGAAATGATTTTACTGCCAAAGCTGGAACACGAGTGTGCAGCTTGCACTTTGTGGGCAAGAGTGGGCCCAAACCATGGTGTCCAATTCCAACATTATTCCCCTCGAAGCCAGCACCTGAACCTTGTGAGAACACAGCAGTACGAAGACAACTAAATTTTGATTCGGGTGTACAATATGGCGAACCAGAAAATATTGAATTAAACGCCTTGGACTTCGAGCATTGTTTTCATGATTACTTGCCAAAAGAGGCATTTAAGCCTGAATCTGGAGATATTTTGCGAGACGCGACGAGAGACACAGGTTAGTGACATATTTTAATAGTGTAGTTTGCCATACGGTAAACATCTACATTTTTTGTAAACATTGTCTACATTTTTTACATTGTCTACATGGGCCATACCATTTAATATCCACCCCCCCCCCCAGGTGATCTTGATATGCGGAAAAGTACTGGCACTAGTTGTCAAATAGAAATCCATTTTATGATTAAAACAACTGAATATCTCCTGTAGTATACTTTATTTCAATTCCATATTTTTGTCAGAGCTATAGTTCACCTAACCAAACATAATTACAAAATTTCAACTAGTTTCATAAAGAATAACGAAAGATATAATTGACTGAATACATCAAAATGGATTTCTATTTGGACAACCCTTTCTGAGCGCTGATTGGCTGAAATACGAACACGAGATCACCTGGCCTATGGACGAGAATTTCTGAGGGGGTTCAAAAACCCCATTTCCGAGGGGTTATGCCCATCGGCATCCTTTGATCTTAGCGTTTTTTCTGAGGGGTAAGGCAAAAATTTGTAAATTTCTGAGGGGGTGAGAGTGTTGGCACTTTGATCTTTTTTTCTTAGGGGTTCAATCTTTACTTATCTCGTCCATATGGGGGGGGGGTGAAATTTAAATGGAATGGCTCCATTTTAGAATACTACTTTTTGCAGACTACGGGAATATTAGTATTATAAATAGTATTATATTAGTTGTTCTTTTGATATGCTAAAAATTCCTAATGCTTCCTACATGTATATTCATATTGTAATAGTTTTTTCTTTTAATGTTTATATAGGTAGGGATCGCAACCGGAAGTCGGTTACGCTTTGGAACAGCTTCAATTTCCGGTTAATATTTTCTCATATATGCTACCTTCAACGTGTTATTATGCAAAAGAAAGCAAACATATCGTTTTAAAATTAATCTTTAAAAACAAAGTAGATCTCAGTCTACAAAATGAGTGTATTTTCGAAGCCTGAAGTGCCGTAGTTACTTTGTTACGAAGCATCAAAGTTCGGGCAAATTTGCAATTTCGCCACCATTAAAATCACGCGGCACGCATTTACTCACCTACCCGGCCCTCTTCAAGCGATTTTCCACACGTGAGCCCGACCTGAATGCAGGTTTAAAATAGCACCACCTTAAAGTTTAAAGCCTGAAGATTCTTCTGAACTATGTCGTTCTTCAACTTTTTGAGCAGAAGACTTTGTATTTGAAAAGTCAATTTTGAAAAGCAAGATACGACTCAATTTAACGCAAAATGTCTACAACGACAGGTATGTACATAAACTATATGTTTTAAGGTTTCTTTTGATATATAATTTGTTTTGTTTAACGATCGAGCTCACATGTGGAAATTCATTTGAATTTAGGTAATTTTGCAAGTTTGCCAATGGCGTGCGTCACTGGACATGTGCTCGTGGAACTTGCAAAATTGGGATGAAAGAAAACGGATTGCCCTGCTTAAAAATGATGAAAAACTGAGTGATGGAAAGGTAATCATAAAGTATGTTATCGTTTATTTAATAAAATCATTGAAACAACCTGTAGTTTGGAGGACAACCAGGAGGAAAGGTGAAAAGAAGCCTTCATGTGCTTGACCCTAATATAATCATCCCTGCGCATGCATGCTTGCAAAACACCCAGAGAGTAGTTGTACAGTTATTTTACAGCTTTATAAAGAGCATCAGAGCAGACATCTGTTGGCGATGATCGTCTGAGACTTGGAATTACTGACCAGGTATTGCATGATATACCGAGTGTATTAAAAACAACAGCAGGTTGTTGGTAATACCACAGTTGTATTTTTAACTAATAAGTTGGTAATCGAGTTAAGTGAAACAAGGGAGCGGATGGGAAAATCATGGGTTGACATCGTAACTTGGCTATGTGTTCTACCAATTGATGTGCTGAAAACCCAACAGTAAACTGAACTGTTCAGGATAAATGGTAAATTTTGATTAGTTCAACTGATGTCTAATCTATTATTTTTCATTCCTATAGTGTACATTATCGACTTAAAGTACACCATGAATTAGAAGTGTCAATGCATTCAAACTGTGTGCCTTTCTTAAATGAGACAGTATGTAGAAAATAGTGCATGAATGGACTCGCTCCACCATATCTATGTATGTGAGTTATTTAACAAACATGTGGAACTCCATGACTGGGTCACCAGAAACAGGGAGTTACTGCATATTCCCTTATGCAAAACTTTATTGGGTCAGAGGAGTTTTCGGTTTAGAGCTGTTAGACTGTGGAATAGCTTGGACAATGAACTGAAACAACTCCTGTTACCAATAAATGAGCAAGCAGTCCAGCTTGATATATAGCTCAGGAATTTTTGTTGTCGAAACTGTATCTTTGATTGATAAACTAGTGTTACAGTAAATATGATTCTTGAAAAATAACTGATTTCCTCCTCAACATGAGTAAGTTATCAATAGTAGTATGTCATCAGTGATGTAATTGGGACATCATCAGATTTGTAGCGTTGTCATGGAAACAGTCTATGTGACGACTGACAAGTGTTTAGGATTGGTAGGGTGTACAAGAATGAAACTATCAACATATTTCAACAAGTTAATTTTAAGTATAAAATTTTCAGCAAAGATATGCAGAATGTTGCAATTAAAATGTATATAAAAATGACGTCACATAGTTACCATGGTAACTGAATGAATGAACAATGTTGTCCGTCGTGTTGTTGAGCATCCGACACGCATTTAGTTTTTAAAAATTAATGTTTTTGTGATGAAAAATATGTATTTTAAGTGCATATTGTTTATAGCTATGACGTCATTATGACATCATCCTATTTCCGTGGTAACGCAGTTTTGTAACATTTTATCAACTAGTATTACTTATTTGACATATAACATGTCATACAACACTTTTGTAATGGTTTTTAAGTAATAAATTAAATCATTTCAGTTTCCGTGTTTTTTCTTTGTCATTTCATGACGTCATACGGTTTCCATGGCAACGATAAGTGTCCAGCTGTTACACTATGCTGTTGCTTTGTATGTCACCATTGTCCTCTGAAAATATTGTGGTGATTGGATGAAATGTCTAGAAGTTATGACCTTATATGTTCAAAAATCCACTTAAAACCAAGCATTTTGGTGCCACATTTCACACTCAGCTGTAATACATTTATACAGTGTCGCTCTTCCAAAAATTGGACTAAAATTCCAATATTCAAATTGCTGTAACTTTTGATTGCCTTGACCGATTTTGATAAAACAAACACCATTATGTTTTAAATCACGATCTCTATCAAACTAGCCTACGTGCGCAGCCCCCTTGTAAATTTGAAATTTTGACTGCTATCCCTAATATAGGTGTCCAGTTTTGTTCCGCTTCAGTGGACAAACATGTTCAAACCGAAACTGTGCAAGTGAAAGAGATTGGAGTGCTGCCTTCACTCACTGCTGAAGATCTTAAAGGAGATGATCAAAAGACTAGATTTTATACAGGATTTGTAAATTTTGGAACATTCATGTCGATTTTCAACAATTTGCTGCAAGTGGCTAGCAAACTAAATTACTGGACTGGAAAGGATTCCCTTAAGGATAAACCATACTTAGAAGATGAAAATAGGCAGAAACCTGGACCCAAACGAAAGATGAGGTTGATTGATGAATATTTGATGGTCTTCATGAGGCTACAACTTGGATTACTGGAGCAAGATTTGGCAGAACGGTTCAGCGTTTCAATAAGTACAGTTTCTCGGGTTCTTATTACGTGGTATAATGTACTTGCTGTTCATCTAAAGGATTTAATTGTATGGCCAAGTAAAGAAATGATTGCTGCAAGTATGCCTCAGTGTTTCAACAAATTTCCAAATACTCAAATAATATTAGATTGTACTGAATTCTTTATTGAAACACCATCCTCATTGGTTAACCAGTCTATAACTTACTCCAGCTACAAGTCACACAACACTTTCAGGCTTCTTGTAGGCATCAGTCCTAAAGGAGCAGTGACATTCCTGTCTCAGC